TCAATGCATATGAGTTCAAACAAACTCTGGGAGATAATGATGGACAGGGAAGCCTGGCATGCTGCAGTCCATGGGGTCACAAAGAGCCAGACACAACAACAGAACAACAATAACAGCAATTCTGTTCAGAGTCCATTTTGGATATGAATTCTTAAATTTGTGTACTGTAATTAAACAAATTTTCCCCGTTATGCTTTGTGCTTTTGAAATTCAAAAAGTCCTCTCTTATCATGAAAAATTTCTAACATATCTTACAAATATTTTTATAGTATTACCTCTAACATTTAATATTTAATTCTTTTGGAATCATCTGGAGGGGTGCCATGCCAGCTGTGGGATCTTAGTTCCCCAGCCAGGGATTGAACCCAGGCCCTCAGAGCAAAAGCACCTAGTCCTAACCACTGGACTCCCAGGGAATTCTTCGGGATTATCTTTTTAATGTGCTGATAGGTAATGATCCAATCTTGTTTTTATTCATATAATGAAGTAGATTATTTAATACTATATACTGAAGTAATATATCTTTTATTTTTTAAAAAAGAAACCATTTTGTCAATTAAATTAGCTAAAAATAAAAAATAAATTAGCTAAAAATACTGTCTCTCAATAGTAATTTATATTTCTTTGATTGCTAAAGTTGCACATACTTCCATATATTTATTGCTCAGTCACTCTTCTTCCATTATGAAACACTCTTCCTTGTCTTTTGCTCATTTTCTTCTATTTATTTATTTATGTCTTCTTGATTTGTGAGTATTCTATTTAAAATTAAAATATTAAACTTATTTTTACACAAAAAATAACAAAGTTATGATGCAATCCCTATCAAAATACCAAGTGCATTTTTCACCAAACTAGAAAAAATAATTCTAAAATTTGTATGGTTACACAAAAGACTTCAAATAGCTAAAATAATACTCAGAAAGAGAACACAGCTGAAGAAAACATGCTCCTACATATCAGACTAAAGATATACTCATCAAAACAGAGGCACGAAAAGAGATACATAGATCAATGAAACAGGATAGAGAACCCAGAAAGAAAAAAAAACTTATGATCAATTAATCTACAAGAAAGGAGGCAAGACTATACAGTGGAGAAAAGACAGGCTCTTCAATAAGTGGGTCTGGGAAAACTGAACAGATGCATGTCATAGAATGAAATTAGAACGTTATCACCATGCACAAAAATAAACTCAAAATGGACTAAAGACCTAAGTATAAGACTGGAAACCATAAAACTCCTAGAAGAAAACATAAGCAGAACATTCTTTGACATTAAGTTACAGCAAGATATTTTTTGGATCTGACTCCTAAAGCAAAGGAAATAAAAGCAAAAATAAATACATGGGACCTAATTAATCTTAAAAACATTTGTGAAGCAAAGAAAACCATTGATGAAATGAAAAGACAACTTACTAACTGGGAAAAAATATTTTCAAGTGATATGACCAATAAGGTGCTAATATCCAACATATGTAAACAGTTCATACAACTCAAAAAATTAAAAAAAAAAACAACAAGCAACCCAATTAAAAAATGGGCAGATGAACTGAATAGACTTTAAAAAAAATTGTAGATGGACAACAGGTACATGAAAAGATATTCAACATTGCTAACCATCAGGGAAATTCAAATCAAAACCGCAATGAGATATCACCTCACACCTGTCAGAATGGTTATTACCAAAAAGAACACAAACAACAAATGTTGGCAAGGATGTATAGAAAAGGAAACCATCATACACTGTTGGTAGGAATGTAAATTGGTGCAACCACTATGGAAAATATCATGAAGGTTTCTCAAAAACTACAAATAGATGACTTAGCCATTCCACTCCTGGGTATATGTCTGAAAAAAACAAACTTACTAATTCAAAAAGACACATGCACCCCAATTTTCACAGTAGCAGTATTTATAAATGCCAAAATATGGAAACAACCTCAATGTCCATCAACAGATGAATGGATAAACATGTGGTGTGTGTATACACACACACACACACACACACACACATATATACATACACAATGGGATACTATTCAGCCATAAAAAGGGACTAAATTTTGCCATAACATGGATGCACTTGCAATAACATGAATGGACTTGGAAGGTATTGTGCTAAGTGAAATAAGTCAAAGAGAGAAAGGCAAAACTGTATGATCATTTATATGTGGAATCTAAAAAATAAGACAGACTAGTAAATACAACAACAAAAAAGAAGACTCACAAATATTAAGAAAACACTATTGGTCATCAAGGAGGAGAAGAAAGTGCAGAGGGACAAGATAAGTGTGGGGGGATAAGACAAACTTCTATGGATAAAATAAGCCACAGATATAGACAATATTTTATAAAAACTATATTCCCAATGCAGTGAATAGAGCCAAGATTTTATAGCAACTATAAATTGACTATAACCTTTAAAAATTGTGAATCACTATATTATACATCTGAAACTTATGTAATATTTTGCACTGGCTATATCTCAATTAAAAACAAAATAACTTTTTAAAAAATTGAACACATATAACAAAACAGAAACAGAGTCATAGATACAGAAAACAAACAGGTAGCTGCCAGAGGGCAGGGTATTTAGGCGATGAGAGAAATAGGTGAGGGAGATTAACAGGTACAAACTTCTAGCTATAAAATAAATGAATCACAGATATGAAATTCACAGTGTGGTATATATATTCAATAATTATGTTATATCTTTGTATGGTGATAGATGGTAACTAGACTTACTGTGATGATCATTTTGCAATGTATAGAAATATTGGGTTACTGTGTTGTATACCAACAACGAATATAGTTTTGCAGGTAAATTATAACTCAAAGCCACCCAACCAAACACACACACAAACTGATTGATAGAAGGAGAGATCAGGTTTCTGGTTATAAGATGTGGAATGTGGGGGAAGGGAGAATTAGATAAAGGTGGTCAAAAGATGCAAAAGATACAAACTAGGGATATAAAGTACATGATATAATTAACACTGTAGCATATTATTTATGAAAGAGAGTAAATCCTAAGAGTTCTCATTACAAGGAAATTTTTTTCATTTTTTTAAATTTTATATCTATATGAGGTGATTGATGTTCACTAAACTTATTGCAGTAATCATTTCATTATGTATCTAAGTCACATCACTATGCTGTATACTTTAAACTTACATAGTGCTATATGTCAATCAAATCAATAAAATTGGAACATAAAAAACTAAATAGGAATATGCCCTCAAGGCTATCTCAGTATATTTTTCTTTATGATTATACACTTTTTAAAATACTTCTATGCCAAAGCCTTTGACTGTATGGATCACAATAAACTGTGGAAAATTTTTAAAGAGATGGGAATACCAGACCATCTGACCTTTCTCTTGAGAAACCTGTATGCAGGTCAGGAAGCAATAGTTAGAACTGGACATGGAATAACAGACTGGTTCCAAATAGGAAAAGGAGTATGTCAAGGCTATATATTGTCATCTTGCTTATTTAACTAATATGCAGGGTACGTCATGAGAAACGCTGGGCTGGAAGAAGCACAAGCTGGAATCAAGTTTGCCAGGAGAAATATCAATAACCTCAGATATGCAGATGACACCACCCTTATGGCAGAAAGTGAAGAACTAAAAAGCCTCTTGATGAAAGTGAAGGAGAGTGAAAAAGTTGGCTTAAAGCTCAACATTCAGAAAACTAAGATCATGGAATCTGGTCCCATCACTTCATGGGAAATAGATGGAGAAACAGTGGAAACAGTATCAGACTTTATTTTGGGGGGCTCCAAAGTCACTGAGGATGGTGATTGCAGCCATGAAATTAAAAGACGCTTACTCCTTGGAAGGAAAGTTATGACCAACCTGGATAGCATATTAAAAAGCAGAGACATTACTTTGCTAACAAAGGTCCATCTAGTCAATGCTATGGTTTTTCCAGTAGTCATATATGGATGTAAGAGTTAGACTATAAAGAAAGCTGAGTGCTGAAGAATTTATGCTTTTGAACTGTGGTGTTGGAGAAGACTCTTGAGAGTCCGTTGGACTGCAAGGAGATCCAACCAGTCCATCCTAAAGGAGATCAGTCCTGGGTGTTCATTGGAAGGACTGATGCTGAAGCTGAAACTCCAATACTTTGGCCACCTCATACAAAGGGTTGACCCTTTGGAAAAGATCCTGATTCCGGGAAGAATTGGGGACAGGAGGAGAAAGGGAAAACAGAGGATGAGATGGCTGGATGGCATCACCGACTTGATGGACATGGGTTTGGGTAGACTCCAGGAGTTGGTGATGGACAGGGAGGCCTGGTGTGCTGTGATTCATGGGGTCGCAAAGAGTCAGACACGACTGACCAACTGACCTGAACTGAACTGAAAATACTTCATCCACTGTTAGCTTCATTGAAGTGAAGATTTTTATAAAAGAAGTGTAACCTATCCAGATGGCAAAATATTCAAGACAGGAATGAAAACAAAAAAGAAATAAAGTCTCAGAAGGAATCAAATGGAAAGAGAATAATAGATATGATGAGTTTTAAGGAGAAAGAAAACACTCCATAACTTTAGATGTGTGACCAAAACTCAAGGAACTTAAAATAGATGAGAGAACTGCAGAAAAGAAAATGCCTTTTCCACTACAAGCTACAGGTGGAGAAAGAAAAAAATGACTGTAGAGAATATTTTATCCTTGTCAACAGGATTTAGTGTCAAAAGGATATTTTAATTCTTTCAGTTATAAAATTACTTAATTTCAAAATAGATATTTTTATTACACTTTAGATTTGAATAAAAATAGTAGAGTAATTTAAAATCACTAGTTTTTATTGCTCATTTTCCAAACTACACTCCATGTCTTAGGATTTCCATTCACTTCCTTCTTCACAAAGCTCTCTCCAAATACCTTCAAATATACCTACCATTTTCTAATGTACGTACTTCCCAGAACCTCCTGGTTTCTGATTGTTAGCTTAGTTAAGATCTGACCACAGCTGAGGAGGAGGCCCTTATTCCAGTTCTATATGGATGACACCCTGTATTTCAAAAGAAACTGCTTCATTCTTGGTATCAGATGAATCTTTAGGAACAGTATCCTGTTCTAAAGGCTCTTCAGATTTTGGCTTATCTTCCAAACTCCCTGATTCTAATTTTGCCACTGGGACGTCTGCTTCCTTTGGAGCCTGATCTACTGGAGACACATTCTCTACCAGAGCCTCATCTGCAGGTGTCTGCTCAGATGGTGGAAGCAGAACTTCAGCAGAGGTTTCTTCTAAAGAGATTGGTGTAATAAAGGGCTCTTCAGTGAGTGAAGGCTGTTTCTCAACAGAGACCATTTCTGAAGTAGTTTCTTCAATTGATGGAGACTGAAGTTCAGCAGGGGTCTCTTCTGCAGGAGCCTCCTCAGTGGGTGGAGATTGAACTTCTGGGGCCTCTTCTGCAGGGGCCTCATCAGCTGGTAAAGACTGAATTTCTGGGGGCTCTTCTGCAGGGGCCTCTTCAACTGGTGGAGATTGAACTTCTGGGGCCTCTTCTTCAGGGGCCTTGTCAGCTGGTGGAGACTGAAATCCTAGGCCCTCTTCTGCAGGGGCCTGCCCAGCTGGTACAGACTGAACTTCTGGGGCCTCTTTTTCAAGGGCCTCCTCAGCTGGTAGAGACTGAACTTCCAGGGGCTCTTCTGTAGGGGCTTCCTCAGCTGGTGGAGACTGAACTTCTGAGGCCTCTTCTGCAGGGGCCTGCTCAGCTGGTGGAGACTGAACCTCTGGGGGCTCTTCTGCAGGGGCCTGCTCAGCTGGTGGAGGCTCAGCTTCAGCTGGGGCCTCTTCTGCAGAGGCCTGCTCAGCTGGTGGAGACTGAACCTCTGGGGCCTCTTCTGCAGGGGCCTCTTCAGCTGGTGGAGACTGAACCTCTGGGGGCTCTTCTGCAGGGGCCTCTTCAGCTGGTGGAGGCTCAGCTTCAGCTGGGGCCTCTTCTGCAGGGGCCTGCTCAGCTGGTGGAGACTGAACCTCTGGGGGCTCTTCTGCAGGGGACTCCACAGCTGGTGGAGGCTCAGCTTCAGCTGGGGCCTCTTCTGCAGGGGCCTGCTCAGCTGGTGGAGACTGAACCTCTGGGGGCTCTTCTGCAGGGGACTCCACAGCTGGTGGAGGCTCAACTTCAGCTGGGGCCTCTTCTGCAGGGGCCTGCTCAGCTGGTGGAGACTGAACCTCTGGGGCATCTTCTGCAGGGGCCTGCTCAGCTGGTGGAGGCTCAGCTTCAGCTAGGGCCTCTTCTGCAGGGGCCTGCTCAGCTGGTGGAGACTGAACCTCTGGGGCATCTTCTGCAGGGGCCTCTTCAGCTGGTGGAGGCTCAGCTTCAGCTGGGGCCTCTTCTGCAGGGGCCTGCTCAGCTGGTGGAGGCTGAACCTCTGGGGCGTCTTCTGCAGGGAACTCCACAGCTTGTGGAGGCTCAGCTTCAGCTGGGGCCTCTTCTGCAGGGGACTCCACAGCTGGTGAAAGTTGAAGTTCTCGGGTCTCTTGTGTAGAAACCTCTTCAGCTGCAGGAGGCTGAACTTCAGTAAGAGGCTCTTTTAAAAGAGTCTCTTCAGATGAGGTGGCCTCTACTTTAGCAGGGGCCTCATATCCAGGAGGCTCTTCCACTGGGGAAGGCTGTATTTCAACAGGAGCCTCTTCAGCAGGAGGCTCTTCTGAAAGAGCCTCTTTGGCTGGCATAGGCTCTACTTTAGCAGGGGCCTCATCTCCAGGAGCCTCTTCAGCTGGGGAAGGCTGTACTTCAAGAGGAGCCTCTTCAGTTGGTGGAGGTTGAACTTCCACAGGAACCTCTTCTGCAGTAGTCTCGTCTAGTGGAAGTTGTTCTTCAGCAGAGATCTCTTCTGCAGCAGGAGGCTGTACTTCAACTGGAACATCTTTCTCATCTTCTAAAGGTACAGGAGAATCTTTTTTGGTTGGTGGAATAGATAATGTTCTGCTAATACTTTGCCGCCTAGTTTCTTCATTGCTACTTGTTGTGGGTTGAAATTCAGGATGTTCACTAACAAAAATACTCCCTGAAGATTTGCGCTTCTGTGCACCTTCCTTTGACTTTGAAAAAGAATTAGTCGACCGTCCAATAACCACTATTTCTGATTCACTAAAGTATGTCTGCTGTTCCTTGTCTAGTTTATCTTTTTCAGGAAAGTTCATCATTGTCCAGTCTCCAGTACAACTAGTCTGCTGAGATCTGTCTGTTTTGACTTGAGCAGAGTATCTGCTTGGTGGAACTTCTACTTCCTGAACACTCTCTGGAAATTCAGGACCTACTTCAACAGCAGCTGGCTTTTCCTCAGGTACCACTGCTTCACAAACTAATTTGATTTCTTCTTTTTTCTCCTCTGCAATAGTTTCTGTCTGCAGAGACTTATCAGCCATATCCTGTACACGCTTTCTCTTTATCCAAGTTTGCTGAAGTTGAGAAGATACTCTATGACATTCATAGTTTAATTTGCTTCCAGGAATATTACCAATACTAAGGGCAGCTTTGGGGCCAGATGATTGTGGTATAGACAATTGTTTCTTTTTCTCTGTTACCTCAGTCTGCTGGGATTTATCTACCATGGGCTGGCTGGGTCGTCTTCTCTTTCGAATTTCTTGCCTCCCTGCTGAGATAGACTGTTCAGATTCATCCTTTTCTTCCATTTCTAAAACTGGTAGATTTCAAACTTATTAACATTCAAGTAAATTAACCATAAGGAATGACAAATGTACCAGATACTTAAGTCTTTGCCTTCCTCATTAAGTGTTCTTCTGCTGAGCTACCTCAGGAAAAAGTTAGTTCATAAATTATTACATTCTGTACTACAATCATGTTGGATCCCACCTCATTTAGTAAGCATCTTTCCTGTTTAATCTCTGGTATGACTAAATATAACTTCTAGAAGTTTAACTAAGAGTCTGTGACATCACAGCCAATTGTTACTACAAGGTTCCATCAATGATATATCCAGAACTTCTTAACCTGGTAAACAACTCATGGATGCTGGCCACAAGTGAGAAATCTACTGCTTGAAACATCAAGTTGAAAACAAGCTTTTGTCTAGCAGAGGAATATGAAGTAAATTCTGGTAATGCTGCTTTCTTTTAGTTGGAGTTGATGCTTTTGAACTTTTAATTCTGTTTGCTTCATCCTGCTGTTAAAGACAGCTGTAATGCAGAATTCAGAATTCTGCAGTGTACTTTCAATTGTTGGAGAAAACAACTGGTAACACATGTGTGGCAATGTTCTATCAGTATATATTTATATCATTTGAGGGAAAGTTAATATTGTTTGAAAAGCTTGAGCTCTGAGGTCCATACCCATGAAAGTTCATTATCTCCTTGGTATTCAGTAGCCACAGGAGCCTACTATCAAAGTTTGTATACACGCATGGCACGTGTGCCTTCTCAAATAACTTGAGATAGGCTAATTTTCAATTATCTCAGAAAATAGTTCCACCTAAAGTTTGACAAATAAAATATTGTTGAGTCTAAATATATGTCAAGTGAAAAAAATGCATTTTTTATGCAACCACTATATATTCTGCTGAATAACTGCATAGGAATGAATTCCCATTGAAGATGAAATCATTTAATTGAAGCTTAAAAGAGAAATCCCAGTTAAGCATACTGTAAATAAACTTTAACATATATCACACAGAAATTTTACAAGAAAGATGAACTGGTCAAAAGATGTGCAAAATCCTATTCCTTTAAGTCTAAGAAATGGTAATGAAGAGCAAATAGATTTTTAAAAATGTAGTCACAAGAGACAATACCTAAACAATTATTATTACTTCTTTAACCTAAGAATATGTTTAAATTCCTAATATTTTAAAATTTTAGTCATAGCCAGAGATTAAACAGGAAAGATGTTTACTAAATGAGGTGGGATCCAACAGGAATGTAGTACAGAATGTAATAATTTATGAACTAATTTTTTCTGAGGTAGCTCAATACTTAATGAGGAAAGCAAAGGCTTAAGTATCTGGTACATTTGTCATTCCTGATGATTAATTACTTGAAGGTTAATAAGTTCTTAATCCTAGCCAAATAGATAAGCACTTTCCACACTCTTTGATCCAGCCCCTAAAGCATCCTCTATCTCTAAACAAGGATCAGTGAATAGTTGTTGGGTGTAATTGGGAGGAATGCAATTAGAAACCATGCTGCCTGTCCTACATCTCAACTTGCTTTGCTTTCATTTTTGTCTATTTTGTTCCACTACATTTTATCTTTCTAAGATTTTACAAAATGAAGTAAAACCAGAGTCATTTTACAGAAATATTGATGTAGGTTTTAATTTGACCTGCTGAAAACTAGATTGTTAATCAGCCTCTTTGTGGTCAGGTTTTCTGCTCAATTGCATCTGTCAAACACTGAATGTGTATTTTGCAATCAAGTTTCTGACATTTTATGTGGTATCTTCAAAGTCTATTCTGGGCCAACTCATAACAAGAAATAAATGTCAAAACCAATAATGCCTTAATTGGATTAATATAACATTACAAGTACTGGATTAATTTTGCTGCTTCAACTTAAATAAGATTTTGCCAAGATTTCCATAGATGTAAACTCAACTTCTAATTATTTGATAAATAGTTTTCCCCTCTAAGTAATAATGAAGAACTGGATCTTTCTTAATTGCACACCAAACAATTACAGTAAATAGCCTGTTGCTACTAGTTTATTCATAGAAGCAAATTAGCATTCCTAGTCAACCAATCTACTTGCTATTCCAAATAGAATTATGAGTGATTTCATAAAATACTTTCTCATCATATTTTTTAAGATCCACAAATGATCCTTTTGTCCTACTAATCTAACCAACAATTATATTATTGACTATCTGGTCAATTTTAGGTTTGGTGTTCTAACTTTTGTTTAGGAAATCTCATATGATTTAGTTCCTCTCCTTGACTTGGTTCACATTTGTTGCAGGTTCAGTTACATATCCCCCAAAAGATAAGTTGAAGTCCCAACCTATAGTACCTCCAAATGTGACATTATTTGGAAATAAGGTATTTGCAAATGTAATCAGGGTAAGATGGAATCCTAAAAAGAAGAAAATTTGGACCAAAAAAAAAAAAAAAACAACAACACAGATAGAAAATGGCCATATGAGATGGAAGCAAAAATTAGAGTTATATTGCTACAAGGCAAGGAACACCTAGGACTACCAGAAGTTGAAGAGGCAATGAAGGAGCTTCCTTTTGAGGCTTCAGAGGGAGCATAATCCTACCAACACCTTGACTTAGGGGCTTTAAGCCTCTAAACTAGAATACATTCCTGTTGTTTTAACCTTGTTTTTGATACTTTCTTATGGCAGTCCTAGGAAAACAACAGAACATTTCATAACCCCGTGTTTCTGACTCCCACTTGACATGATGCACTTCTGACTCTCTCAATCTCTGATACTAGTTTCCTTATTTCTGACTCAGGCTTGGCACTTAGTTTCATACAATATTTGACCAATTTCTGCAATTATAAAACCAGAGGGGTTTGCTGAAAGACCTCTACCTGATAACTTGTATTTAATTTTACCAAAAATAAATTTGTTGAGTAGCATGTAATTTCATTTATAATTATGATGACTTTGAAAGCTATGATTTAGAGATAGCAGAGATATTTCAAATCAATATAGACCAAATATCTAAACTGTGGCCTACATTGCTTTGTTCTAAACTGAACAGATAAAATAAGATGAAGTCTGAAAAATGTCCATTGGATATGGTATCTATAAGGAAATTGGTAATTTGAGTAAGAGCAATTTCAGTGGAAGGGTGGGAAACAAGTGATAAAACAGTAGAACTTCTGTGAATTAAGTTTTTTTAATTAAATTGCAGTTAAAAAATAAGTGTAAAATGCCACATAGACAAACAGCTATACTTAAAACACTAAAAAGTTTTAGAAAATCAATATACAAATAATACAATAGAAAAAAATTTAAAGAACATAAATAGAAGATGTATAGAGGAAAAATAACTGGCCAATAAGCATATAAAAGAGGTCAACTTCACTTCTAAAACTAAGATTAAAATAATATCAATGTAAAACTAGCAAAAATTATTTTAAAGATAATCTACCCTGCCCTCAAAAGTTAAAATATTATTAAATGAATGGTCTCCTACATTACTGACAGGAGTTTAAATTGATACAATCCTTATTCTAGACAATTTGAAAGTAAGTATGAAAAATTTCTAAAACATGCATACCATTTGCCAATAATTCTGTTTCCAAGAAACTTGATTTTTAGAAATAATTATTTCCTCAAGAAATATTTACTGAATAACTATTTATTCCAGGGACAATTTCTACCTGTTGGGGAAACAACAGAATACAAAAAGACATTGTTTCCTGTCCTTATGAATCTCACAGTCTAGTGGAAGAAACTAAATAGTTAACACTATTTTCATCCTTTTTTTCTTTTAATTAGTGAACAGGGAATATACTTTACCTAGAGTAATAGGACCAGAATGGGTTTATAGTAGAGAGCATCAGATTGAGAAAGAATCCAAAACAGAAACAATAAGAAGAAAATGACATGTTCTAGGAATTATGAGAAATCTGCTGTGACAAGAGGAAAAGCAAAGCAAAAAAGGAAAGCATTTATTAGATGTGCTTGAAGAAGTAGATAGCAGCCTGATGGTACACTGATTTAAGACTCTCTAAGGTATTGTTATTTTGGATATAACAAATATTTGCAAATATTTAGGCACCCAATATCACAGCACCTAAACTTAAAAAGCAAATATTAAGAGACCTGAAGGGATGAGTAGACAACAATGCACTAATTATAGGAGACTTGATTACATCACTTTCGTTAAAGAGTAGATAATTCAGATAGAAAATGAGTAAGAAAACCCTAAACTTGAATTACACTTTAGATGATATAGATCTAGTAGACATGTGTAAACATCCCTTCCCAAAACAGCAAAATAAACATTCTCTTCAAGCATGCTTTGAACATTCTCCAAGACAGATTATGTTACCTAACAAAATAAGTCTTTAAAAATTTATGAAAACTAAAATGATATCAAGCATCTTTTCTAACCACAATAGTATTAGAAATCAAGTACAAGAAGATAACAGCAAAATTCATAAATATATGGAAGTTAAATATCTTACTATTGAAACAAAACTATGGGTCAAAGAGGAAATCAAAAGGGAACTAAAGAATATCTTGAGACAAATAAAAATGTAAATACAACATGCCAAAATAATGGGATGCAACAAAAGCAGTTCCAAAAGGGAAATTTATACCAATAAACACATCAAAAAAGGAAGATCTCAAACAACCTAGCTTTATACCCCAATAACTAATAAAAGAATAATAAAAGAAAAGATAGCAGAAGAAAGAAAATAACAAAGAACAAAGCAGAAATAAATGAAATAGACTAGAAAGACAAAAATAAAACTCAGATGATTTTTTTAAAAAGATAAAAGTGATAAGCTTCTAGCTAGACTGAGAGAAGATTCAAATGAAATCCAAAATGAAAGAGACATTACAGCTGATATCTAGAAATACTAAGGATCATAAGAGAGAACTATAATTGTGTGTGTGTGTTAGTCACTCAGTCATGTCTGACTCTTTGCAACCCCATGGATTGTAGTGCACTAGGTTTCTCCATCCATGGAATTTTCCAAGCAAGAACACTGGAGTG